AACTAATGTATTTGCAAGTGTTTGTTTTGTAGTCCAATAGGGTCCAAACGTGACTTGAACAAAGGCGACGTGATGATCCAATGATCAACACCTCAGGAAAGACATTTGAAGCTACAAAGAAGATCTACAAGATCATGCACAAGTCAAAGACACAAGATGGAACCAAGCTGGGCGCAAAGATCTCAAAGAGATAAGAGAAGAAAGGGTTTTTGGGTGACCGGACGCCATGACCGGACGCCAGGACCAGACGCGTCCGGTGGTAAACCCTAGCAGTGAGGGCGCCTGACCACTTGACCGGACGCTGAGGAAAAGTGACCAGATGCGACGATGGCATTGTCCACTGTCGCGGCAACAGCTCAGCGTGGACCGGACGCTAGCGACTGGATGACCGGACGTGGGAACAGTAGCTTCCGATCGCCATGCGGAGAGGTTCTAGAGAGGTGCTACGCAGATCGGACGCGTCCGGTGGCTGTGACCGTATTCGGTCAGAGTCCGATCAGTAGAACGCGCCGAAGGCCTGGTGACCATTGTGAGAGACCGGACACGTCCAGTGCCGGCGCAAGTCGCGTCCGGTGCTAGCCAGAATTGTTGGACTTTGTTCCAACGGCTAGTTTCTCCATGGGGCTTATAAATAGAACCCCCAACCAGCCCTTTGCAGAGTGGAAGAGTGAGGAAACATATCAAGGGTGTTGAGACACCATTTTAGAGCTCTCTACTTGCTAAGTGCTTAGTGATACATTCGATGATTAGTATAGATGCTTTGCGAAGTGCTTAGGTTTGTTAGACCACCGCTTATGCGCTTGCTCTAGGTTAGGCTTAGTGTTTAGTGAGGTTTGCATACCTCTTACCACTCGATGCTTGCGCGCACCATTGTTGTACATCGGAGGGGCCTGTAGTCTTGCGAGATCACACTAACCGCATTTATGGTGTGGCCGCCACCGTGTACCGGGGGGAACAAGGCCCACGGTGTTTTAGCTGGAAGCTTGATAGTGAAGACGGCGGGGGGCGGTCCGGGAGAGGCTTTGCCATGAGTGGCTTAACCGGAGACCCGCTTGCGCGTGGGGAAGGACTAGAGCTATCCACGGAGTTACCCGACCGGAAGCTTGGCCCTTGCATGGGATTCCTTGCGAGGGGCTCCAACGAGGACTAGGGAGAAGCTTGCGCGCTTCTCGATACCTTGGTAAAAATACCAGAGTCATCGACGGGAGTTTGCATATCTCTACTTTACTCTTTAGCTTTCGCATTTACATCGTTTGCATAACTCCTTTTGCGGTAGAGATAGCAACACACTAGCAAAACCGTAGTTGCATATTTAGATAGTTTATCTTTTGCATAGGTTTTGCTAAGAATAGAACAAGAGGCCATAGTGTAGAGTTAGAGTTTTCAGTTGCCTAATTCACCCCCCCCTCTTAGGCGTCACGGTCCTTTCTTCAATTAGGAATAGTAAAAAGGGTTTGAAGATGATGTACCTAAGTTTTGATTTTTAGCCTGAGCTCTCTGTGTGGCTTTCTATGCAATGGGGATGTGGTCCTTTGGAATCCTTGTGCTAGCTCTAGAGGCCACAATGGGTATCTTGATTTTGCCTTTGACCCATGTTTGAGATGTGGGGACCGACCACTCGTGGCCATTGTCTCCTTTATTAGTAGTTTCCACATTTTGAATGGAAGTATAATCCATCTAGTCCTCTTGAGATAGGGTATTTTTAGTTCCATCATTCTTTTTGCTAATGAGACCCAACCTATCTTACTAGTCTATTTTGCTTTCTCAATCAGTGTAGGCACCACCATTTGGTGCACCAGCATCACATTATCATCCTTGTTCTCTAGGAGAGGAGCTACTTCTTGGGAGATACACTCAAATGTCTAGATGTTTTCATCTTCCATATTTTCAGACAAAGGAACCACCTCCTTGGTAGAATCCTCAAGAGTTGGTGTGTAGTCGATATATATAATTGAGTCCCCAAGGTTGATGGTGTCTGTAGAGGGTTTAGATGTGTCATGAAGTCCTTTTGTAGGGGAGTAGGACTTCTCCTAAGGAATTCTATTTTTTCTCCTGGTGTTTGCCTCATCCTAGGTGAGAGTTCCATTTGTTATCAACTCATCTTCCAAGATATCTTCCATAGAGTTTCCTAACTGTGTTTCGTATCTTTCTCCAAGCACCCCTTCTAAGTGGTTGTGTCCTTCTTTTGTTAAGGGTCCCCATTCTTGTCCCCATTCAGATCATACGTATCTAATGGTTTTTCATTCCAGTGGGTTTCATCTCCTTCACCATGTGACTTGCCATGGAGCGAAGATCATACTCAGTGCCATTGAAAAGGCTTCAATGAAATCCCTAATTTGGCTAGGGTCCCTACAATTTACTTTGACTCTCACTAGGACATCTCTCTTGAGGCTAGATAGGTCGACATTACTTTAACTAATTTAGCAAATAGGCATCACAATTCCTATACCGCCTCCTCACCCCTTGCAATACTTAGTATGCTGTAAATTTTTACACAATAGGATTGAAGGAAAGAGGAGGTGGTGGGATCAAGGTTGGATCTAGACATTTCACCCTGAGCTTGTATAATGCTAGCTATAATCTAGTAAAGTTGGTAAATGTGTTCAACTAAGGTTCATCAAGGAAAGAAGCTAGATAGTTGGTAGAAGAAATTTGCTTCACCTTGAAGTTCCATTTGTTACTGATCTGGTTCTTCAATTATTTATCTAGATTGTCAGGAGTAGCTTCACTCTCCAATATAGATATGACCCCATTGATTTCCTTAGTTTTGATTTTCACATCAAGGATCTAGATTAAGTAGAAACCGTGAGCAAGTATGCCAAAACCAACTTCCTTGAGTTTCTTGTGCCGCTTTAAGTGACAAATTCTAGCCATGTGCCTAGTAAGTTACATTTATAGCAGATACGCCCATTGTTGCAATCCACCTAATGGTGCCCCATTTTATTGCATCTAGAACACTGAACTTTATTGGGTTTGGGTTTACATGTAGGTTTTTGTTGTTTCCCTCTATATCAATATAGTTTATTAGGTACGTGGCCATGGTCATCTTCCTCTTAGGTGAGAGTTTTGGCCGCCCATGACCTTGCTCTCACCCTGAGAGCGAGAAGGAAAGGAGCCACGGCTTCCACGCCCCGGGTGATCTTGCAGCTCCCATCTCCTAGCACCCCTACTAATATGTTCTTCCCAATACCCTCCTCAATAATCCTATTTCTCTCCTTCCCCAAATCTGGCGCCCATGCGATGCTGGAGTTTAGCCCTTAGATCTTGTTTAGTGTGTTGATCCTAGAATTTCTCCTCTACGAGGTTGTCCTCCTCCATCCACTCCATCTGCCATCCTCTTCCAAGGCCTATCATATTGTTGCTCTCTCCTTGCCATTGCCCCTTGCTTCACTACTTTAGCAAACAATGTAGATAGGGGAGGCGACTCTTCAGTCTTCTAGAGAAATGTGGCTTGGAACCCTAGGCAATGAATCTCTTCTTTCTTAGCTGGGTAGCCAATCCCCAAAACAGGGTTGGGCACCCATATCTATTTTAGGTTTTTGGGCCTCTAGGAATGAGTGTGTTTGTTTGGCCCAATATTGTGACTTTCTAGGAGCCCACCGCCATTCGGCGTAGAGCCACAAGGAACAGAGGGGGGGCGTCTAACTCCTCACTCCCCAATCTAGATAGTTCTGCAAGTGATTCCTCCAGGCTGCAAGAAGCAATCTCTGAGTCAATGAACTCATGTAAAGAAGGATCTTCCAGTTTCTTAGTGTATGAATTATAGTTGAACAAATGCAGCTTAATTACCTCAGCTATGCACTCCTTCTCCAGTTTCCTAGATTGAGGTGAAGTGTAATGAGCTCCAGTAATCCTATTGATTCGCCCTGAGGAATGCTCCCCTTGAGGAGCACACGAGTGCATTGAGCCCATCCCTCTACCCTAAGGCAGAGTATTGTAGTAGAAACACGAAGACCCATCCCATGAACAAAGCCGACATTTGAGCAAGTTCTCTTACCTCCAAGATTCTGCAGTGGGTTGTTGTCATCACCCCCCCCCCACCCCCGGTGGACTCCATGTGTTAAGGCCATGTGAGGTTCTCCAAGCGTCACGGTGAGCAATATGTGACATCGACGGCTCGGGACCCTTCTACAAGGCGTCCATGCCCCACTGCAGGGTCGCGCGCGCGGCTCCCTACCGGTCTCATGAGATCGGCCCGTCTTTCTCTCAAGTTAAACAACTCCGGAGATCCCTCCTCACTAAGGTCGTGAAAAGCTCTCCAGGCGTCATGATGAGTGGTAGAAAACAACGGCGGTGCATCCCCCCTCTCTCAAAGGTGTTGCTTCCTCCGAGGTGGTGGGGGGCTGTTGCTGGTCCTTGTTGCCAGTCGGGGAGCATCAGCTGTGAGCGCTCCTGTAACCCCCATCATCTGCTCTAATATGGACGTTACATTGATGTCATGAGGACATTCTTCAATAATTCGTTGGCTTCTTCTTTCACTCCCTTGGGGCGCTAAACATGGACTATGAAGTTGTCTCCCAAAACCATGGTTCAATCCTATACATAATATCTATCTTCCATGATCATATTGTTTTGCGTGAATATTCCATGTAAAGGTGCTTTTGTCAGTAAACTACTTCACTACAAAAAGGCTATGTAGCATATCATTAACTGAAGGGTAGCATGGGCTTGGTCACCTTTATTACTTGGTGAACAAGTTCAAATGTAAAGTAACTTAGTTTGAATTGATGGAGCATATAACAGGAGACAAAGGTTCAACTATATATTTTATTCAACACAAAGATTCAACTGTAGTTGCTAATTACTATTTGAAACCTGGTGTTAGCATTGAATCCTTTTTCGCTCTTTTACATGTGAAAATTAACCCAGTATTACAGTATTACACTCCACTATCATATGACTAAAAGAACCAGAGTAGACTATGCTCTTTTATCTTCTTTTTGCGAATACAGAGTAGACTGTACTCTATATATCAGAATACGGCATTGACAGCTGTTAATATGTTAATCTCCCTCCGTTCATTGCAGAGCGTCCTCCTCAGCGTCCAGTCAGTGGAGCTCCAGTTCCACTCGGATCCAAGCGATTTGACAATCTCGTCCTTGCTGCGTCTAACAAACAATACTGCTGCCCGAGTTGCCTTTAGGCTGCTCACCATAAATTCGGAGTATTTGTTGAGGCCACTCGGTGGTATGGTGCCGCCAATGTCCAGCTGCGTTCTTGCCGTGACCACGTTGTCTGACCAGAAACCACTACAGAACAGCGACGGGTGCTGCTTCACCCTTGAGAGTGTCATAGCAGTCGATCAGGGTGTACAAGATGCATCTCGTGACGCAGCAGACAGCTATAGCAGATTCTTTGCGGAAGCTCAAAAAGATGGCCGTGTGGCCCAGCAGGTGAAACTGACGGCTTCCTACATTGCACCTCCTGTAGCGGGGAACACGACAACGACTGAGGTAAGTTCCCTTCTCTGACTAAACACTGCTCTGTATCGGTTATAACTTATATAAAACAATTCAAAGATGGGAGTCCTATATTTGCCACGGTCTAGTAGGGAGCAAGTGCGTCACAGATGACTAGACATAATGTATATTAAGATTATCAAAAATTCTGCTAAGCCCCGTTTGAATCCTTGGAATTGAATTCATTCTAAAAATTTAGGTATAGATAAACTAATATGATTGTATATGAAATATATTTGAATACTATCGTTAGCCATACAAAGGAGAAAATTATAGTTGTAGAGGAGAAACATAGCATGGTGATTATAGAATCAAATTCCATCTTCCACCCTATGAATTTGAGATAGCCATACAAGGGAGAAAATTATAGTTGTGGAATGTCAAATTCCAAACCAAATAGCCTAATCCATTAAGGAGATTCTAATTCCTCCAAAATGAAAGAATCCAAACGGTCCCTAATGGTATTTTTAGTTCCTCATGTAGCACATATAAATGAACATCTACATTATTACTCGACATAATACTCTTTCCAATTGATACATGTGAAAGATGCATGCTTCCTCTGCCTCTAAATGTAGGTTGTTTTACACTTGTGCACAAAGATTAATCAAATAGACCTTGGTGCCCTGCGTTTATAACACAATGGGAAAGATGACTCACTCGTTTATGTGGACGGCAATATATATTAGGCAGGGGCAAGGGACAAGGAACTAAGAAAAGAGTAAAAGATGCATACGTTGTCTAATTCCAAATATACATAAATATTCTGATTTAAAAGGCTTTGCTGATAATACGCCTAACTAATGGTTAACATTTGAATCTTTTATACAAAATATTGTCATCCAGATCTAAAAAGGCAATCGTAATAAACTAATAAATTCTTCATACAAATCACTTACACAAAATACTATCATCTAGATCAAATTAACCACTAGGTCTAAATATGAACCAACTAGAATAATAATCTACATAGGGTGTGTAGCGTGAGTTTCGCGGTTTCATCCTCCCCATTGTACTTTGCTAACCGTTTACACACCCACTCTTGTGTCTCTGCTTCTCCTGCTCATTGTCATGTGTGGACCCACCCTCACCGGTACTCCACCTATTCCATGCCACAATGCATGTCCTCAAGCCCTCACCTCACACTCACGTGGTGTAAAAATGACATTAAGGGCTTGTTTGGATATCCATGTATTCACCTCAATCTATGTGTGTTGGGGTGGGTTGGTATAGAATTTAGTTCGCAAACAAGCCCTAATATAAATTTATTTACCTGTCACATCTCATTGTATTGACGGTTCTCAAGTTGAAGTCAGTGGAACATCATCAATTCTACTTAACCTTTCACACTAGCCGTTCAAAAGATTAGCAGTGAAAATCGAAAACTACAACCAATACAAATTGCTTCTATACTAGTGCACTCGAGCCTTCCGTGCCTACACCCATCAATGACCACTCCTTCACTTGTGCCCTTGCCCGCTCAGGCAACCCCGGCCCATCTTCCTCCTCTTTTATGGCAATGGCTTGTATTGTGTTATCTTGAAGTCCTCGTCGATGGACTCCTCACAGTTGGAGTTCTCATCGTGTGCCTTGCCCGCTACTTGCACCACAAAATCCTTGTCCTCTGGGGTTAAGCACTGACTACATGGAGGGAAAAGCAAAGGTTGAGATCTTAGTGGTGGCCATGGATCATACGGATGCATGGTGGTAAGCCATGGCTAGAGGGGATTGGGCTGGTGAGTGTGCAGTAGATGTGTGTAATGTAATGGTGAGCGATGGGCAATGGGGCTTTTTTAGGACAGCGGAGGAGAGAAATAACTCTAGCTAGAAATTAAACCTGCATGCATGGGAAGACGAAACATCAAAAATTTTATGGCTTTGTACGTGCAGCAACGTGGGATGATGACATAAAGCGTGATCGATAAATCGCTTCTAGAGTACTCCACACCTTGGTTTTGTTCGTTTCATTCCGAAACCAAGGGGAATGGAGGGGATTGAGAGGGATTTAATCCTCTACAAGTCAAAATCCCCCTCAATCCTTGGTTTGGGGAAGAAACGAACAAGGCCTTATGCGGCCTTATGCAGTAATCTTTGGTTTCTCGCATGGCTCTAGAATACAATCATGGTGGATAATTCATATTTTGTCATGGATGATATTACCCTGCCAAAGATAATTCCAGCAAAATAGACCCATGGCTGTGAATTATCTCCTGCACCTAGCTAGTGTTACAAACTATGATAGGAAATCTATTTTTTAACCGGTCCATGACGAACAACGTCCAATATGAGCATTCATGTAGTATAATATATAAACATTTGGAAAGGGTAGTTTCAATCAAAATGATATTTAAAATCAAATCAGGACACCAATATTTGACAAAAGTTCAGATAACATAAAAAATGTTGAACTCTTTTGAGCATGTTCTCAAATTCCAGTCAAAAATAAATTATGGATGCTAGTTTGAGTCATTAATCCTGAATTCATATTTTTCAGGTTTTGGTAATTTTTAATCAATGATACAATCAGTTTCACAAAAGTTACGAAAATGGTATTACTTTGGTAGAATATTAATACAATTGCAATTCTACAAAAAAAATTTGGGGGTAGCAACATCTTCATACGATTGTGGTATTTTTTCCATTTGCATGATAAACACGCTGCACAATTTTCTTCTAAGTTAATTAGCATGATATAGACTACTTATTGTAATGCTTAATTTTAGCGCTGGGCTATGAAATAGCTTAACATTTTTGTCCTATTTTAGACACTATAAATTATTAATGGATGCACAAATCAAATGAAAATTTGCAGATGGTGACGCAACAGAAGAACAGTACATATCAGCAGCAGGATTTACCCTTGATAGCAGGCCCTAGCTGCAATGAGCCAGAATTTTATGATGTGCGTGAAACATCTTCAGATGTTATAGAAGAACTTATTGTTGGGAGGACTGAAGAAAAAGAACAAATAATGGCTTCTTTACTACAATGTGACAGCATGACACATAACATCACCATTCTTCCTATACATGGTATTGGAGGCATTGGCAAGACAACATTTGCAAAAATGATATACAATGATACAAGATTCAAATATTACTGTCAAGTATGGGTCTATGTGTCCCCAAGGTTCAATTCAAATAAAATTGGCAATTCCATAATTTCACAACTCTCTGAAAAGGACAGCCAACTAAATGAGAAACAGATGATAAGGATACACCTCAAGAAGCTACTAGCTGGGAAGAAGACTTTGATTATTTTGGATGACTTGTGGGAATATAATCCAAATAAATTGTTTGATTTGAAGACTATGTTAATGCTTGGTGGGACAGGCAACACAATAGTTATAGTAACGACACGCGATGAACGCATTGCAAAGGAAATTGGAACCACTGAGCCATATAAGATAGAACTCCTGACAAAGGAATTGTGCTGGGCTATAATAAAACAAAAATGTGGTTTTGAAGCAAGGGATGACAAAGAACAACTGAAGGATATAGGATTGGAGATTGCCTCAAAGTGTGGAGGTGTACCGTTAGCTGCTCAATCTCTTGGGTACACATTGCGGTTCAAGGATTTAAATGACTGGGAGAAAGTTAATGAAAGTGATGTCTGGAATGAACCTAATTCAAAGGATGGATCTTTGCAAAATCAAGTGCTTGCAGCCTTGACATTAAGTTATAGCAGTATGGATCGACCCCTAAGGTCATGTTTTACCTACTGTGCAATCTTTCCAAAAGGTCACAACATAGTTAAAGATGATCTAAGTCACCAATGGATTTCACTGGGGTTCATCAGGCCAATGAAACCACCGTTCAAGAAGCTCCAACTTAGCGAGAAGTACATTGCGCAGCTCCTAGGAATGTCTTTCCTTCAGCCTTCAATGCCTCCATCGGTGAGTTATTTATGTCAACCTCTAACCTCTGGGAATGAACCTAATTCATTATTTCTTCTAAACAATTGTAATGAAATTCACATAAAGATGTAGTTCAACAATTAATGGTACACTGACAAAAAGAATAGTGACCTAAAGTAATTGACAATTAATGCTACTATAAGTATGTATCAGTGCCAACACTCTTAGTGCACTGGTATGCTCCGCAGTTTAGGGAGACACTGGCCAGAGATCACGTTTGGTTTGGGGTAATTGAGAAGAGGGAATGGGAGTTCTAGTGGGAAGAAGAATAGGAGTTTAGATGGCAAACTGCCACTAATCACTTCCCTAGGGAGGTGTGGGAATTGTGCTTTAATGGAAAATAAATCTATCCTCACGTCCATCAGGGTGTGTTTGGCAACTACGTGGGAAGAGGCATGGGAATTAGTGGTGGGAGTTGATAGATGAAATTAAGGTGGGAAATTGACTTTTAGTCTAAATCTCTTGTTTGGTTCATGGAGGGAAATAAGAAAGGGAATTGAAGAGGGAATCCATGTCCCCTGTTTGGTGTGGGGGTTTTGAGGGAAAATTAAATGGCAAATCATGATGAACGGTGAGGATCTATTTTTCCTTTATTAAGAACACAATTCCCACCCAATTACCACCCCTCCCTTAGGGAATTGATTAGTGGGAGTTGGCCCTCTAAACTCCTCTTCCCCTTCCCACCAAAACTCCCATTCCCACAAAACAAACAAAAGAATTCTAAACTCCTATCTCTAAACTCCCATTCCTTGCTTTCAATTACCCCCTCATGATTTATCCTATGATTTCCCACTCAAAACCCCCACACCAAATAGAAAATATGAATTCCATCTTCAACCCCCCCCTCCCTCTATTCCTCTCCACGAACCAACCAAACAATGGATTGGGACCGAAAATCAAATTTTCACCTTAATTCCCTCCCTCGATTCCCACCACTAATTTCGATGCCCCTTCCTGTGTAATTGCCAAATGGCTGAGAGTCATATATATCCTAGCTAGTGGGAGGAAAACTCTCACTGGCAACCCAAAAAAATAGAGACAGGGTGCTAGCTTGTGCCACCTATGGTTGGTTTGGGCCCTCTTATCATAGGGGTTTTTCTCGAGGGTGTAGTGGTCTCCAGCCTAGAGGGTTGTGGTCGACCTAGGTGGGGGTTTTTCTCGGCCATGTGGTTGACGTTTCTTCTTAATCATAATGCCTCAGAGAGGCTGTTCCAGGGTCTTGTGTTTTTTATATGATTACAAATTAGTAAACCCAAACTAATAAGAAAACCACACCTGGGATGACAATATATCCTGACCGATAACACTGTGTACTTATGATTTCTGTGTGCAGATTGTTTTCATTTGCCATCATGTGCAATTTTAAACGGGGAAACAAAATTTCTTGTTCTGGAACCAGGATTTGAGATCTCAATTTGTCATACTATCATAAGCTCTCATTAGCCTTTATGCCGACAACTTTTGAGGCAAGCCTAAAGTAGGGAAATAATAAGTTGAACATAATGCTTATACCTATATCCTTAACATATGGTACGTACTTAATTCTTAAATGATGAACTTGAAACCATAAACGTACCTTCTTGGAACAGACTCAAGTAATCACACTGGACATTAGTTATTTGACTTTGGACTTTCCCTTGTTAGTCAAAGTAAATTTGAACTTCAGCATAATAAGTTCCAGGATAGATTCTTGAGCCAAAAGAAATTTCTTATTATCAAAACATAATAACCTTACAACATGCCACAAGTAAGCTTGCATTGTTAATTATTAATGATGCCTTAAGAGATTTGTTGAAGCCATTCCACAAGATGGTGAAAATATAAATTGATGTGAACTTCTTAGTATCAATGCACCTTGCAAATCATTATACAAATTAGCTATAACTTTGTGGTTATCATATTCTTTTAGGTGTGGGCATGTAACCTTTAGCACCATATGTATAACACAAAGCTTATATTAATCATTTTCCTATGGTCCAGTCTAGATTGTTACCTGTCACATATCCCAGTTACAAACATTACATAATATAAGAACACATAACAACTAAATATATAATGCATAGTTCTAACATAAGGGAACTTCGCCCTTAGTAATGGTAGCTTTGCTCTCTTTCTCTTTCAGACTACATTAAGTAATTGACGTATCTTGATGAGTTTAAATTGACAAACATAAGAGGCATCACCAACATAATCTTAATATCTAGACGAGGAAATTTAGAAACCAGCTGACACTAGTTGCGTTTGGACTTTTGTCGCAGACTTCTGGAGTGTATCATGAAGATATTACATTTTTTACCATGCATGACCTGGTGCATGACTTCGCCGTACTAAAATTGGACGATAAATTTCTGGATGCTAGTAAACAAGGCAGTATTCGGGGAGGCAGCTGCCTCTTTGCACTGCTCACTGATTGTAGCAAGTCGCTGGGATTATCCTTGACTTGCCCTGACAGTTTAAGGGCATTGCGATTTCTGGACTGCAGCAAAATTGAACTATGTGGAGATGCATTCTCATCTGCAGCATCCTTGTGCATCTTGGATTTAAGTGAATGCCACATAAATCAGTTGCCAGATTCTATTGGCCACTTACAGCATCTCAAGTATCTTAATGCTCCAGGAATCCATGATAAATCTATCCCCAACTGTATCACGAGGCTCAAGAAATTAAACTATCTCAGCATTCGCGGGTCTTCTGAAATATTAGAATTGCCAGAGTCGATTGGAGAAATGGAGGAACTGGTTCATCTGGATTTGTCAGGTTGTTCGAAAATAAAAGAACTGCCAGAATTGTTTGGCAATCTTAAAAATATGGAACATCTGAATCTTTCAAAATGCTCTGATGTTCGAGGAGTATCAGAACAGCTGGTCAGCCTCAAGAAACTGGAGTATTTGGACGTATCATACTGCAAAAATATTGGAAACTTACCAAGAGAGTTTAGCAGTCTCACTGAACTGGAATATTTGAATTTATCATTCAGTTCATACCTGATGGGTATCCAAGACAGCCTCCTTTGGGACGAAGAATTATACAAGTATCCAGCAGACAATATTTCAAATCCTGTAGGACCCGGGATAGATGGTATAGTTGAGGCAGAGATCTTGGGCACCCTGACCAGGGTCAAATATTTGAAGTTATGCATAGATGGATTTACTACATCATTGCTTCCAAAGCTCCCTGAGTCTTTGGGAAGCTTTAGCCAACTCAAGTGTCTGGACTTATCAGGTTCTTTTACACTGTATAAATTGCCAGCATCATTTGGGAAGCTCCATGATTTGCTACATCTTGATTTGTCACATTGCTTTCGTGTTGAAGGTGTACCAGAAGCCTTGATTGACCTTAGCAAGCTCAAATATTTGAATTTGTCAGGCTGCTCTGCTGGTGTAAATGAACAAGAACAACAGCCGAGCCTAAGAGGGCTGCAAGAAGCAATTGGCAATCTCACTGAACTACGCTATTTAAATTTACACAGGTGTCTGAAAACCATGTACGGTGACCAGCATGTAGACGAAAGCAATGCTTTCCTGGGGCAAATCAGTACACTTTCAAGCCTAGAGCACCTGATCTTGTCACAAAATGAGAATCTTTACGGTTTACCTGAAAGTTTTGGCAAGCTCAGAAAGTTGCGTACGCTGAACCTCTCATATTGTGGGAACCTCAGGAAGTTGCCGGTAAGTATATCTGAAATTGGCAGTCTGAAGTTTCTGAATACGTCCCATTGCCGCAGATTTGATGAGACCACATTACCTCAGTCCAGAAATAATTCTGTCTTATTACCTCACTTTATGGTCCTTGCCGATGATAGTCAATCCAGCAGCAATCTTATTAAGCTCAAGGATGAAAATCCTGCAATCTTGGAGATAAGCAGGCTTGAAAGAGTCAAGTCTGCTGCAGAAGCCCAGAGCATAAAATTGTCTGGAAAACAAAGAATTGAAGAAATAAAATTTAAATGGACGAAAGATGCCGAGAGATTTGTGGAGGACATCGAAATTTTACAAGAACTAATGCCACCAGCCTGTTCAGAATACTTGGTGCTACAAGGTTACAACAGCATATTTTTTCCACCCTGGGTGACAAGCATCGCAAGCTATTTACCTCGTCTCGTTAGTGTTTCCATTATGGAATTGCCCAACTGCAAGAGCTTGCCACCACTCGGTCAACTAGGAAACCTTCAGGAGCTGCATATCGAGCAAATGGACAGCATCTCAAAGATTGGCGCGGACTTCTACGGCTGCGCGGCGGGAGCTTTTCCCAAACTGAGAACCTTTCGTTTATTCAGAATGGAAAGCCTTGAAGAGTGGAACACGGAATACACCTGTGGTGGTGGTGAGGGTGGCTCACATGTTCTCGTGTTCCCTATACTAACCCTTTTGGATGTAAGAGACAGCCCTAAGCTGAGGATAAAGCCATGCCTTCCTAGAGGTGAGTACTTCTTGGACATAAGGAGTTGCGACAAGGTACTATACTACTCACCATTGGAAGAGAGATGCAACATCATCCCTGAAGAACTCTCCTACCCGGCTCCAAAAGGTCTTTTTATGTATTGCAGCGAGCAGCCTCTGCATGAGTGGAGCTTGCTCCACCAGCACAATGGGTTCAAGTACTTGGGCATCGAGCAATGCAGTGACCTCACATGCAGCTCAGCAGAGATTATCCGAGGTCTCTCCTCCCTCGAGACTTTATCTTTGAGAGATTCCAGAAGCATTACAGCCGTGCCGGACTGGTTGGGGGATCTAAGCAGTCTCATCAGACTTGAGATAGTCAACTGCTCTGGCATCCAAACTCTGCCAGAGAGCCTACAGCAACTCACTAATCTTGAAGAGCTAACAGTTTCAGGCTGCCCTGATCTAGTGCGGTGGTGCAAATCAGAAAGCTCTACGACCCTAGCTCACATCAAGTTTAAGGTATACACTATATACCCGGCCAAGCTATATTTTGAGGGCGCTACTCCTTTTGCACATTGATATAGGTTGCACTTTGCTTTGCATATCAGGATTCAGGTATGCTTGTCAACTCACTTTCTTCCAATGACCTTTTTTTTTTTTCAGGAATTCGATAATTGACATGCTACCAATATAGTCAACTCCATTTGGTGATCAACCTGTTCCCTCACAAGATGAATCTAAGGACCCAGTCACCCAGACCCACCCATTTGAAATCTCGATCCTTTCATCAGGTCCGGTCCTTGCGAGGGCCGAGCAGCATCCTGGCCCTGTAATTAACCGAACCCCAATCAGCCATTGCTGCAGACTGCAGTACCTTGGACGCTCACTTGGAAAGCAATGAAGTTAGAATGTGTTGGTTCTCAAACTAAGTGGTGTGATGCCGATTAAATACTGGAAATAAGTTTGCAATACTCCTATTATTGGGTAATGTGCTCGGTGCTCCACGGAGGCAAATGCCGGCCCGGATGGTGATATCTATTGTCGAACAATGTATGCACTTTGTCTCTCTTTTCATGTGTGACAAATATAATTAAAGTTTACATTTTTAAAGGAAAATGCAAGTAACCAGCTTTACTGATAGCATCTACGAGGGTCGACCCATTTGACCCCATTGGAGTGGACAGTCCCAATCCCAAACCCATGGTTTCCATAAGTAGTTTAGAGCAAGGTTTTAAATCTCCGGCTAAGCCTCTTAGCTGTTGCCCTCCACAACAGCTAAGCACAGCTATAGCAGGAGATAGCTCCAGCTAAGCCATTTAGCTGTTTAAAAAAAAAATAGAAAAAACACAGAACAAGCGATAGATCCAGTGACAAGTCTCGTGACTGTAGCAATAGATCCTATAATAAGCAGCAAACATCTTTGGCAGACTGCTTGAAAAAGCAATAGATCCTATGAAATCTCTAAATTTGCGGACACAGACAAACTAATTGACTAGTCGAACAAGGAAATCTTCACTCACGACCGTGGGGAAGAACAAGCGGTAGCTGCCTGCTGCACAGGAAGAAGAGCTTGAAGCTGCCGCCAGCGCCACTCGAAGCTGCCACCACCTCCGGTGGCCACCTCAGCTGGAAGCCGCGGCCGTCGGAAGCCGCCGCTGGAAGCCGTCACCGCCGCCGCCGCCGCAGGCCACCTCCGCTTGAAGCAGTTGCCGCCGCCACCGCCGCTGGCCGCAGCGGAAGCACCTCGAAACCACCGCTTGGGGGAGAGGGGTGGGATGCTGCGCCGCCATATCCGCCGGAAGCAGCAGCAGCCGTCACCGCGCACCGCCATCTCTGGAACTCTAGAAGCCGCAGCGGCAGGGACGGACGAGAAAGACGAGCGTGCGACCGGGAGAGACGAGAGAGATGAGGAAAGGGTTACGTTGTTTTACTGGGCTGATGTATAGGCAAGGCGATGGACCGGCGGTGGCACACGTTTTACACTTTTACTGGGCCACACGGTCAATTTTCTGGGCCTGACAACAGTTTAGCGGCCGCTAAAGGATAGCCATTTAGCGGCAATCTCTGGCAATCTCCAGCTATTAGGGTTTTAGTTTTTTTAGCGCAAAAAGTGAGATATCCTAGCTGTGAGCTTGCCCAGCAGCCATAGCCGGCCGGCTATTTAGAACCTTGGTTTAGAGACAGCAATAAATATCACGTAGACAGTGGCGGAACCAGTAAAATGGGAAAGGGGGGCACTTTGGCCGGACAAATACGGCAAGATATGTATATATATATACATAATGTTTTGTTGTCACAACATATAAAAGTAACTCTTTTAGAAAAGAGGACAAGAGAAACTTTTTTTTTTCATTTGAGCTTCACTTTGCACGTCTTTATGGCATAGAAATCATCTATAATGGCATCCGTTGTGAATTAACCTAGAAATTAAAAGGAAAGAGAGAATGCATCTTGTTATTTCTACAATTAAAAAATTGGAAATCGTATCATATAAATTATACTTACTTTGCGGCTGCTTGCCCCTGCAGTCTGCAGACTTGCTCGCTCGCAGTGAATCAGTGGTGCTCGCTCCGTCGCTCAGGCTCGTCTGCTGCGGTGCTGCCTGCTCGGCGCTTGCCTGTTCCAGCGAGCGGCGACGCGAGCAGCGAGGCCGCGATGCCGACGATTGGACATGAACGCGGAGGTTGTGGCACAAATATATCATACTATTAGTTTATCAGAATGCGTCATGGTTACTGCCGGATTGGGGAACTTAAGGGGATGAACTGACCTATTTCGTTCACTGATTGCGCCCGGCACCGGTGGGTCGATTGCGGCTGTGTCGATGTCTCCGGCCGATTTTCGCTGCAGTTGAGCTCACTGCCCCGCCGCCGGAGTCCGAGGCCTAGGGAGGCACGCCGCACGCGGCGACTGCAGCTCTGCTATCCGCCTGGCCGAAGAATCGCTGAACGCGCAGGGAACCGGAAGCGACACAAGTAGCAAGTTATCACGCGAATCGCGAGGCGCTGATGTTTACTCTCTGTGACCGGCGGGGGACTAACCTTCCTAACCCATACCTGAACAATAAAAGGGAGGCTGATCAGCTATAGCAAGCAACAAACACTACTACATAAACCTTTATCGAGGTGGGCGAAATGGGTTAACCGAGGTGGACATCATATCTGTCTCGGTCTGGTTAATCATTATTTACCAGGCGGGTCAAATGCCCGTCTGTGAAAATCAAATAAAAAACAAAAAAGCCCCTAGCCCAACCGGGCCCGGATCCGGGCCTCGCGCCGCCGCCCCTGCACGCTCCCCACCACCCGATCCACCGCCAGGGAAGCCGAATCTGCGCCTCTCGGGGAGGGAGAAGAGGGAGCCACCACTGGATCCAGCCTTCCCACGCGCCGCCATCGCCCGATCCGGCCTCCACGCTCGCACCGCCATCGGATCGGGCCTTCCCACGCGCCGCCGTCGCTGGATCCAGCCTCCACGCTCGCTCTGCTGCCGGTTCCGCGCCGTTCAGGGAGGGAGAAGAGGGAGAAGCCATCAGATCCAGCCTCTCGAGCGCTGATGTAGGGTCGCTGCAGGGGCCGTGCACGCCGCGCCGGAGGAGGAAGGGCCCGGTCCCCTCACGGAGATGGCCGGACCGCGCAGAGAATACCGGCCCGCCACGCCGGAGGAGGGGACTGCGCCACTTGAGAAGAGAGGGAGGGAGATACGGCGGCGCCACCACCAGAGAGGTGAGGGAGAAGTGAGGGAGGGAGAGACGGCCGACGGGTCGAGGGCGGGAGACATGAGAAAGAGTTGGAGAGTGAGGTGAAACCCTAACTCTTGTATGGCCCCGTTCGGATGGTATGGTTCTGGAGGAATTTGGATGGTTTGGAGGAATTCTGGAGGAATTTGTGAGAGTAAAACACTGTTCCGGATGAAAAAAGAAGTGGATCAAGCCGTGTTTAAGGGCACGCGAACGGGGACTATATATAAACCCGATAGGTGGATTGCATATGGGCTTTTTGCTGGGCCTCATGTATATTTTTCTAGGTGGGCCTTTTGAGGGGTCCGCCTTCAAAAATGGAAGCCATTTTTTAGGCCCGTAAATAGAGTTTAGGAGGTGGTTATTTTTTTTTTGACCGTCTCTGTAAATTGATTTTGTGAACCGGTAACTGTGACCGCCTCGGTAAATGAAAACAACAGCCTCAAAAAATCCCCAGGCATTTTACGAAGCGATTGGATTTTGTGACCACCTCGGGTAATAAAAGGACACCGCCTCACAAAATCATTTTTTTAGTAGTGAAAATACCCAAAATGGTATGCATGCAGTCGCTAATGCATGAAACTAAAAACTGCTCAAGCATATATATATATATATATATATACTCAGCCTGTTCGCTGGTTGGTTTCTGGACTGATAAGTTCGGTTGGTGCTAGTTTGTTATGAGAGAAAAACACTGTACCATGGCTGATAAGCCCTGGCTGAAACCAACAAGCGAACAGATTGACTGTGTTGTTCAGTGTCACAATTCACAAGATAATGTTGAACGGGCAGGGTTTGTAGCGTATATGTGTCATCAATGTGCAATCATTGTGCAGCAAGAAACAAAGGCGATTGAGGAGCACGTACAGGATGCTGCATCTCATCCATCTGACCATCAGAAAGAAACAAAAAGCTTCACTCTTGAAGGACAGCTAATTACTTTAGAGCTGCCCATCAGCAGAACAAACCAGTATGAGGCACAAGTATATCGGCGTGCAGAACATACCTCAAAGAAGCCAAATGGAAGACATCCCGTTGAAAGCTCTAGTTTGATTTTGGTGAATTGATGAAACCCTAAGTGCTAATCTATTGCTCTAAGTGATCATGAGATAGGAAAGCACATTCCAAGTGATGGAGCAAATGAAGATCATGATGATGGTGATGGCACGGTGATGATAAAATGCTCGGGCTTGGAAAAGATGAAAGAGAAAAACAAAATAGGCTCAAGGCGAAGGTGAAATCCATAAGGTCATTTTGTTTTGGTGATCAAGACACCTAGTGGGTGTGATCACATTTAGGATAGATAGCCGTACTATTAAGAGGGGTGAAACTCGTCGTGAAATGCGGTTATCAAAGTGCCACTAGATGTTATAACTCATTGCATATGCATTTAGATTCCAGTGAGTGCAAACATCCTTGAAAATATTTGTGAAAATATACTAACACATGTGCACAAGGTGATACACTTGGTCGATGACACATTTGAGCAAGGGTGGCGAAGTTTGAGAAGTGAAGGAGTTGATTCAGGGGCGTCGGACCCTGCTTCTCGGAGCGTCGGACCAGCTGTTTCCCTGGTCCAATGGCTAACCCTAGGTGGGGGCTGACGTGGCGGCCTATGAGCGCTCGTGGGAGAGTGTCGGACTTGCTTGGGTCCGATGGCCAGGGGTCGGACTCAGTCCGACGGCTCTAGAACCTCTCGATATAGTTTTGACATGCGTCGAACCCTCTGCGTCAGACCTTGTTGAAAGGTGGCGTCTGACAGGTCAAGCGTACTATTCATTGCATGGTGTTTGGTGAGGCGAACGAGGACGCAACACGTGGCAGCATTGGACTCCCCCTAGGGTCCGACGGACGGCGTCCGACCGGCGTCCGAGGGTTTCTACCCTCTCTGGACCATAATGGACTGCGTCGGACTCTCCCTATGTGGAGTCCGACGACGGGTCCAATGGTCGGGTCTGAGGCTCAGTTCAGCGCACGGCAGGCGACCGTTGGCGGCAACGGTAGATTTCATTTGAACGTGGTTACGTGGCAACGCGTGGCTGGCTGTGGCTGGTGTCGGACCCTGGTGTTGAGCGGTCCGACGGCCCGTGTCTGTGGTTTCGACGGTCACTTAAGTGGCCTAACGGTTACTAGCTCGAGGGGGCATCTGTTTAAGCCCCATGGCCGGCTCTTGCTCACTCTCTTGGCCATTTTCATTGACATAGCACCCTAGTGAGCTGAGCCAAAGCCCTCCCACTCATCTCCATCATTGATTCATCATCTTTGTGAGATTGGCAGTGAATCTAAGTGCATTGCTTGAGTGATTGCATCTAGAGGCACTTGGTGATTGTGTTTTGCTGCGAGATTCGCTTGTTACTCTTGGTGTTTGCCGACACCTAGACGGCCCGGTGATTGGTTGATCGTCGAGCGGAGGAAGGTGATTGTCTTCGGCTCCGATCATTGTGATTGTGAGGGGTTCTTGTGCCTTCCCCGGCAGAGCGCCAAATGCAACTCTAGTGGATTGCGCGTGACTTATGTGATCCTCATCTTGTGTTGGTTGTACATCACCCGATTGCAGGTTAGGCGTGTGATGCCTATAAGCGCATGAACCTCAAAGTGAGTGAATCGACACAATAGGGACTAGCTTGCCGGCAAGCAAGTGAACCTTAGAGAAAAAATTGATTATGTCATCATTATCTCCTTGGTATTCTTGGTATTCATTGTGATTGATCGCTTGCCACGGTGGTATATCAACTCTACCTCTCTTGCATTACTTTCCTAGTGTAGCTAAGCTCTTTAGTATAATTAGTTTTGAGAGCTAGCTTGTGCCTTTGTCTAATGGTTAGTGAGGCTCTTTAGTTAGTCTTTGAGAGCTCACTAACTTAGTGGTAGTGATCTAGCCTTATGTGTGACATAGAGACTATAGCAACTAGAATTGTTGGTAGGTGGCTTGTGTTTTTAGTAGGCTAGCGCAATGTTAGCTTCGCCTTATAATTATCTAACCTCTTGGCTTAGTGTTGTTGTAGAAATTTTAATAGGCTATTCACCCCTCCCTCCTCTAGCCATTAGGACCTTTTAAGTGGTATCAGAGCCATGGTCACCTTGATTTGAAGCAA